CTGAAGCAGTGTTTTCTTAACTAAACAGAGGGCATGATCACTTGCAAGAACGTTGGATTTTTGGAAATCAGAATACTCCACTGTTAAAGAAAACTGACTCAACTGTCTTTTCAGTAAGAAAATACTTGTAAGTTCATGGAGTGGAGCTGGGAACTCTTCTGATTATTCTGAAATAGCATCATTACTAAGCAGGTATGTTAGTGCTCCTCTTATTTATTTATTTTTTAATTTATCATATTTTCTCTGTCATTTTGACTATTTTGGGGGGAAATTGTTTTTAGGAATTATTGACATTTGTAATTGTGTTTTCTTTCTCATACTATGATTTTAAAACACTCTTTTATAGGTATGTAAAGTGTTTATCAATACTTTATATACCTTTATACTTTTATTTCTCGGTTTTAGTTGCAGCCAACATTAGTGCTGTTTCTGGAAGCCTCATAGACATCCACTTAAAGTGTATCCTACCCTTTAGGCAAGTTACTTATTATTATAAATAATGTATTGGTTATCTATCAGGAGTGGAGAATATTATCTATTGCAGGCACCAGAAAGTTATAAGCTGCTAATATTTTTATTAATACTGGATCCATTGTTATTTCACTGCAGAAGTTTTTCCTCACTTATGAAGAAAACATTCCTTAAATGAGTACAAAACAATCTCTTCCTGCATTAAGCCCCTTCCTTCACTATGTTTATAGTCATGGTGGCTAGAAATATATGTATTTCCAGTAATGATTTTAGTATGATAAGGGTGTTGTTGAAAAAAAGAAAATTTTGGATGGGTGCAGTCATCTTTACCTCAGATTCAGCCTGTTTGGTTCTATCATTACAGTATTGTTACCTAGGACTATAAAAATAGGCAAGATGGAGCTGAGCCAGTGAAATGGGCGTAATACCGTAATCATATTTCACATCTCAAGTGTAGCTAGGAGAGCCTTTCTAGTGTTTCTCCAGGAAATGGTTCCTGAATCAAAACGATGATGTCTTACGAGGAATCCCACTTCCATTTTCCAGAAATAAAACTGGAAACATCAACTTTCACTGAAGTAGATAAAATGATGATTGCACACTTTTTTCCTGAGAAAAAGGAGGGTGAAGCAAAACCATAAAGCCCATGTGATGTAGTAGTTAAGGGGTTGGACTAGGACTGAGGAGACAGGTTAATGTCCATCCTTAATTAGGCATACCATACCTCCCAGTTTGACAGCGATTGTCCTGGTTTTGCACTCCAGGCTGGACTTCCTGACCAGTTTACAAAACAGTCCCAGAAAGTAGGGTTGTATAGACCCACATGAGGAAAATATGGGCTCAATTATCTGTCACAAATGGTTAAACTTGTGCTCTTTCTTTGCTTAGGGAATGCGGCTTTAGACATCAGTCCAGACTTGATCCTCTTTTGCCTGAGCATGGTCGGAAAGAGCACTAAAGCTGCGCTTCCAAGTATATATACGCAGAAGCCTGCTGATCATGGCCTATGCACTGGTTTAATTGTATATGAAACTCACTGGATGACTATGGGCTGATGACAGTCTCTCAGCTCCCATAGGTTGTTGTGGGAATAACATCAAGCAGGTGCCTGTATAAGGTGCCTTGAGTTCCTGCAGAAAGGGTGGAATGCAAATTTAATAAATAATAAAATAATCGTAGGGAACAGTTCTCTGTGCGGTCATCATTCAGTGCTCAAGAAGGTCCTCCGCTGGGTCAGCCATCAGACAAAGTGGAGCCAATCTCCCTGCCAGCTCTTTTAGGCAAGAAGAAAGTTTTTGCTGCAGTGTTCAGTGTTCAGTCTGGCAGATCCAAGAATTTACATGCTAGCCAGCTAGGCCCAATGGAGGCTTAACCTCTTCCCCAGACTCAAGTCCTACATGGATGGCAAGAGAGTCCCTTGAGGAGGGGACAGGGGGCAAATGAAAACACATTGCAATGGGGTTATCTGCAATTTATATACTCCCATCAGATGCCATGGATATTTGTGACAGACATTGCTGCACTAGGGTAACAGGAGTTGTAGTTTAACAGGTCCCAAAGCCATCAGATAAGGAATGCTGAGTTTAGCAGTTTTACTCACATGAAATATGCAGTTCAGACTGGTATTTCAGAGGAGTTGCTGTTTAACTGGTCCCAAAGTGATCAGATATGGAATGCTGAGTTTAGCAGTTTTACACAGCTGAAAGATGAAGTTCAGACTGATTTTACCCTCATAAAGTATTATTCATGCATGCTTTACTTAAGTTGCATCCAACTCTTTGGTGAAATGTGAGTGCCCTGAGGAAGAATGCTGAATCAGTTCAGAAGCTGAGCAAAAGGCTTCCTGTGTGCATAATTGCTTTGTAACTCCTGAGCAACTGCATTTGGTCTTGTTTGCATGTATGCCATCACAGTATTAATTCTCCTCTTACCTTTTGCACAATGCTTAAAGTGGTCCAAGAAACAATCCAGTCAACTGAGCTGATAAAGAAGGGACAGAATAAGGAGACTGAAGGGGACCAAGGAGGGCAACTATTCCAAGTGAGCTGAGAGACTAATGGCCTGGTCCACAGTAATCCAAAGGCGTGGCAAACACTTAGTATTTGTTCACTGAAAGAATTTTGAGTGGATGGGTAGACATCATGGTTGGTATACTATAACTTATGACTTAGAGGGTAAACCCTGTTAATTATGGCTTATTTGGTGACCCATGGTGAAATGAACCATCACTTAGCTCAAGAGAGAAAGAACCCAGCATGTGGGTATGCTTTGTGCAGTCTCATATACACACTTGGTTTTATTATAACATTATAGGTAGTTCTCACTTACCAACTGCTTCATTCAGTGACCAGTTATGAAGTTACAACAGCACTGAAACAGTAGGTTTATGACCAGTTCTCGAACCTGCGGCTGTCACAGCATCCCCACAGTCACATGATCACAACAAGAAAAGTCAATGGGGAAGGTGGCAGGAAGTTGGTCACATCACATCCTTGCTTAACAACCCACAGTGATTTGCTTAATGACCACAGTGGAACTGACATCGTAAGTCTGGCATGGTCATGTGATGTTTCACTTAATAACTGTGTCGCTTAGCAACTGATTTGTCAGTTCCAATTGCAGTTGGTAAGTGAGAACTACCTGTAAATAGTCAGAAATTGGCTGGAATATTTTTTTTCTAAGTGTTATCACTTTCTTCTTTACACAAGCCAAGTTGGGTGGTATTGGACCAATCCCTCTCAGTCCTAGGAAGCAGACAATGGCAAACCACTCCCAAAAATCTTGCCAAGAAAACTGCAGGGATTTCTCCATGCACTCACCATGAACTCACCAAGAGTCAAGACTTACTCGAAGGCACAAATAAGTAAATTCAACAAATCACATAATGGCTTAGTGTAGTTGTAAGTCCAGGATTGATAATGAAGCTCAAGCTCAGATACTTTGGTCACCTAATACAAAGAGAGGACACTTTGGAAAAGACCCTGATGCTGG